GTCAGAGAACAACACACTATATACGACACAGTCAGAGAACAACACACTATATACGACACAGTCAGAGAACAACACACTATATACGACACAGTCAGAGAACAACACACCATATACGACACAGTCAGAGAACAACACGCTACGACACAGTCAGAGAACAACACACTATATACGACACAGAGAACAACACACTATATACGACACAGTCAGAGAACATCTTATTATACATGACCTGGTCAGAGAATGACATCATACATAATAACAAAAATAATAATAATAGAAAAGAGGTAGGACACACCAGGGATACCCTCCAACCACCCACACAGACAGACACAATAGTGGGAAAAAAAGAAGTACTGTAGGACCTACCAGTGACACCCTCCAACCACCCGCTGATTCACTGCACTCACCTGGGATCAAAAGCCAGCACAGTGCAGTCGTAGATCTGGGAGACGGTGTCGTCAAACTGCCAGTCATAACCTATGCTGGGGGGGAACAAGAGAGGAGAAAGGAACACAGATAGACACTGTAGTAACAATATGAATAGCGACTAGAGTAACAATATAAATAGCGACTATAGTTACATATGAATAGCGACTATAGTAATAATATAAATAGCCACTATAGTAACATATGAATAGCGACTAGAGTAACAATATGAATAGCCACTATAGTAACATATAAATAGCGACTATAGTAACAATATAAATAGCGACTAGAGTAAAAATATCATGAAAATAACATCAATTATATCGGCAATAAAAACGATCATACAAAATGTACACATAAAGACAGTCGTATGCAGTAGGAGGAAGTCATTGTACAGGCGATTGTCTTGGATAGGAGGTAAAAATCATGAAGATGAGAATGAGAGACAGAGGGACAAACCATGAAGATGAGAGACAGAAGGACATACCAAGAAGACAAGAATGAGAAAAAAAAGGACAAACCATGAAGACAAGAATGAGAGACAGAAGGACACACTGAAAAAAGACCACGAAAGATAGATGGACCAAGTCATGAAGATGAGAATGAGAGACAGAAGGACACACCATGAAGACGAGAATGAGAGACACAAGCACATAATATGAGGACAAGAATGAGAGGCAGAAGCCATATGGAGGAAAATGAGCGAAAGAAGGACGTACCCGAAAGAGAAGACAATGCAGGGGTTCCCCAGGACGTAGGGAGGTGACAGACAAACGTTCCAACCACCGTCATGCATACCCCCCAGGCGCTGGTCCTTCTCGCAGCGGACATCTTTGTTTTCCAGATATCTGGCGAAGAAACAAACAAACAGCTATGGAAACTCAGAGGGTTATAAATAGATGCCCTGCACATTAGCTGGAGGTACAACGACTAATGCAGCTCACAGACTCACAGGGTTATAAAAGACCTATGATTTAAAAAAACACATTCATTTTTTGAATAATACTTTGAAAACCGATGGTACACTGGGAAAAAATGTAGCGCTAAAAATAATTGCCGGTAGTGAGAGAGTATTATGGGGAATATCTTAAAAATCTCTCTGTTTTTCTGATAGAAAAAAGCAAGTCCTCTTTCTTTTTTACACACCCAACATTTATCATTCAAGACTGAATGAACAAACAAAGATAAAGAGGAAACATTGCTTTTTATGAAACGAAAGCAAACCCATTGTTAATGAGCTATAAAGACAAATCAAAACATAGATAAGATAATGTTTAATTATCTAGCAATGCCCACAGAGCGCATTTTGTTCTGCCGATTTTTGGCCCCCGCCGCGGGGGTGTTTCGTGGGACGCACTAACACAAAGGTTGTTGTCTTCAACTC